ATTTATGCCATCATGGTCGGCCTCGTGAACAACTCCATGGCCGAGATGGTTACCTACATGCCAGTTTCCGGTTCCTTCATTCGAATGGCTGGCCGATGGGTCGACGAGTCTCTAGGATTTATGGCCGGCTGGAACTTCTTCCTCTACGAAGCCTGTCTCATCCCCTTCGAGATCTCCGCCATCAGCCTGGTTCTAAAGTTTTGGCGGGACGACATCCCTGCTGCGGCTATCTGCGCAGTGTGCATCGTGCTCTACGCGTGTGTCTTCCCTTTGCCCTTATTTTATTGAAAGGCGAGCTTGTTTAACACATCTGATAGGATGATCAATGTTATGGCCGTGAAGTACTTCGGGTAAGTAAACAGTTTACACACTTCTATATGGGCTCACGTCTGCTCGGAGGAATAAGTGTCTATGGTTGGGATACCTTTGCTGATCTTGGTATGCTAGCGAGGCCGAGTTCTGGCTATCAAGTGGCAAGATCTTGCTCATATGCATATTGTATATGTTCACCTTGGTTACGATGTGTGGAGGCAATCCCCATCACGACGCCTACGGCTTCCGTTATTGGTCTAATCCAGGTTCTTTTGGCGAGTACATTCATCAGGGCGCCCTAGGTCGATTTGAGGGTTTCCTTGGTGCCATGTTTTCTGCTGGATTCACCGTCGTCGGGCCCGAGTACCTCGCTATGGTCGCAGGAGAGGCCAAGCGCCCGCGGGTCTACCTCAAGAACGGATTCAAGACTGTGTACTGGCGATTCGCTATCTTCTTCATTGGTGGTGCGTTATGCGTCGGTATTGTCCTCCCGTACAACGATACCAAGCTGCTGAATCCCGATTCGGGAAGTGCCAACGGCTCGCCCTACATCATCGCGATGCAGAATCTGGGAATCGGAGTACTTCCTCACCTCGTTAACGCCCTCATGATCACGAGCATCTTTAGCGCTGGCAACGCTTACACCTACTGCGCGATGCGATCCTTATATGGTCTCGCCTGTGACGGCCAGGCGCCCCGCATCTTCAGTAAGACCCTCAAGAACGGCGTCCCGATCTATGCTTTCGGAGTCGTTATGATTTTCCCCTTCTTGTCGTTCTTGCAAGTGTCAAACAATACAGCGCAGGTCGTGACGTGGCTCGCTACGCTCACGCAGGGTTCTCAGATGATCAACTACATTGTCATAAGCCTGACGTATATCTTTTTCTACAACGCCACCAAGGCACAGGGCATAGACCGCCGAACCTTGCCATACTACGGCTACTTCCAGCCATACTGCGGGTACATTGGCCTGGTGTGGATGATTATCATCGAGGCCATCTTTGGGTACAAGGTGTTCATGCCAGAGAACTGGAACGTCGGCGACTTCTTCGCCTATTACACGATGGCCCTCGTCGCTTTCTGCACATTTTTGGGCTGGAAGATCTACAGGCGCACTACCTTCGTCTCCGCAGTTCGGGCCGACCTTGTCTGGGAGAAGCCGTCCATTGACGCGTACGAGGCCTCCCATGACGAGCCTCCGACCCGATTCCGTGACGAGATGATGGCTATGTTTATGGGGAAGAAGAAGAGGCAGAATTACATGGGCGAGGATCCGAACTAGTTGCCACGCTTCCAGGCAATATGGCAAAACCCGTTGCATGTCGAAATCTGGGAGGACAGGAAGTGCTTCTTTTTCTCCGTTATTGATAACAAAGGAGGGTCTTAGAAATAAGTTCAGCCTCAGACGGACTGTTCATGATTATTTGCAAGTTTGTATCCTGCATCTAGGAAATAATGACCTGGTCATAATGTTATGTCGGCGTCATCACCCCCTTACTCCTGATTTGTAGTCGTCTTGAAAATAGCTAGTGCATGTGCTGGTAATTGAGCTCGAGCCTGGTCGTGCACTCTTCGAGTTGGAAAATGGAATAGGGTTAGACCAAGGCCTTTTTGGCAACTTTGACGGTTCAAAAGAGACATTCTTTAGCTCTTGAATTAGATCAAGGTACGTAGTGGGCAGAGGTAGATAACTCTGCTTCATCGTCTGAGCCTGGAGCTAACTGCGTCCCTTGACACAGCCATCCAGGGAATTTGGCAAAACAATATTCTTATTTCCAAATACAAGGCACTAAGGAGATGTCCAATAATGACCTGCTGCTTGTCGAAGTGTTGCCGACTTCTCTGTTGGTCGTTGCAATCACGTCGATTCTTTTTTGTACTGGTGGATTGAGATGAGGTGCAGTCACAAAAGGGGCAATATGCTAGATGCAGACCGCCTCAAACGCTCATAACAGTTATCGCAAGGTTGCAAGTCACCACCGTCAAAATACAAATTACATGTGCCAGGTACATAGGTAGGTCATTTATACATCCAGGTTTCCTGTTCTCAAGAATGCAAATGCTGCCATCCCATACACCCCGAGATACCTGAAGGTGGATTCCACAAGCAAACGAATGATCGAAAAAGTAATCGCTTTCTTGTTCTAAGACAAAAGAATAGCTCCAATTCCCTTCCATTCCCCGTTATAAGTATGCAGGCCCAAGATCCAATTTCTTTTTATTTTCGCTTCCAGCCGGTTAAAAATGCCCAAAAGGATATTGTCGATCGACATAAATATAAAAAATCGCTTAGCTCATAAAGCTATTGGTGATGGTGATGGCAGTCGTGTAGACCATGGCGACGGATCCAATTACCATGAAGAGGATATCTCCGGCTTTGGCCCTCCACGAAGTCGCGACGCCTTTGTAATGCAGGAATGCCGGGTAGATGTAAACCAAAGGGACACAAGCGAAGGACCCGATCAAGGCAACGAACCGGTCAAGATTCGAAGCGCCAAATACCGAGATGACGCCACACACGACGACTATGGAGGTCCTTAATGCGTTCTTAATCCATTTCGTCCGGGCGTTCTTTTTGCCCGAATGAGATCCGAAAACCTTGCCTTCGATGATGCGTATGGGGGGGAACAGCTGGACAGGCGTTCCGACGAGAACTGCGAGGGAGTAGAGGAACTGGACGGCATTGACAAACTTGCTGTCTTGGGGGTAGTTGTTGATGATCTCGATAGAGGTGTTTTCGCCGAACGTCGCGTAGCAGAGAGCGCCTACAGCAGTAAACAGGACCGTGATGATGAGCATGACGATACCGAGGAGCCACTCGAACCTTTGCGGCTTCGACATTGAAGATTGAATGGGGAGGATGAGCCCGATGCCCTCGAATGTAAAGATAGCTGCCCCGACGGTCAAGGTGTATTTTCCCGGGTTGAAGAGAACGACACTCTGGTGAATACCATGGGATGCGAGGTAACTAATGTCGTAATAGTATATATATACAACGCCAATTAGAATGAAGGCATCCGCGAGAAGCGCGACAGGGCCAAGTTTCGCGATGTTTCGGATGAATGAGAGAGGGATGAGGATGATAAGCTGAAGCAGAATGAGTACGGTGGTTGACAAGGGGCTGTTGCCCTGGTTCACAGCTTGGAGAAAAGACGTGATATTCTCCGCCACGAATACTATGCCAGCGCAGACGAACCCTAGCTGCGACAAGGTGATAGAGCCCAATACCAGGCCGCGCATTCTGTTTCCGGCTATCGCTTGGCCAATCTCTCCATAACCACCACCATACTTTTTCTTACAGGCAAGAAGCAGATGGAATGCCAGCATGGTGACTACCGATATTACCAGCATAGCCAATGAGGAGAACAAGATGCCGCCATTATTGAAGGCCTTTGGTAGAAACATTATACCAGTTCCGACAAAAGCCTTCAACAGGGTAAAAAAGGTCTGTCTGGTGCTGGCGGTGGCAGCACGCGGCGCGCGCGAAGTCTTACGTCGTCCAAGAAGCGGTCTGGTCTCGCCCGACAGGCCTTCCTCTCCCTCTCCCCGATCATCTTCGGTCTCTGGTTCTGATAGGACTGCCTCGTCGTCGTCTGAATCAGCCAGGTCCTCCCCGGCAAAACTCCCGTATAGATCTAGAAACTCGACGAAATTCCGCGTAACGGGCATCCTAGAAGCCCAGCTCTGTTGCTGCTGCTGCTTCTGGCGTATGAAAGCCCTGCGGAAGCCTCCGGGGGCTAATTGGTCGCTGACGGTTAGCCCATCGTCTCCGTTGCTCCCGATGATGTCCTGTGGATGGTGGAAGGTGGCGGCCCGTTTGTGCATCCTGGCCCGAGCGGCAGTCTTGAAGAGGTCACGGTGTATATCACCTCCCTGGAGTTTCAAGGAAGACGCACCAGACGCTGGTTGGCTCAGATCAGGAGCAGAAGATGATGCAACGGCGGAATGGCTCCTGTTAGGTTCTCCGTCGAAGGCAGCCGAGTATCCGGGCGGGAGATGTTCCGAGACAACTTGGGCATCATGAGACGACTGGTCTGATATCGGGGGATCTGACAAAATGATGTCCGATATTGGTACGTCTGGCGTCGGAATGTCTGGCGACGGATCATCTGACGTTGGACCGTCCGACATGGTCGGCGATGGTAAGTGGACAGAAAACAAGAAGTCTAGGCGTGGATAACAGGTAGGTACAGAGGTACAGATTACATGTGGTGTCTATAGAAAGCAAAGGAAAAGCCAATACTCTAAAATATTGATGTTACCAATGCATTTCAGCACAGGATATGGGATCTGTGTAAGTGACAGTTGTGGTGGTGTTGTTCAGCATGAGGGGGGCGTTGAGTGACGGTGACGCCTAGGCCAAGGATCGTGATGAACTCATAGAGACGGTGAAACCTTAAAGAGCCCCGACACCATCTCGATTTAGGCCGTAGCAACTCAGGCACCTACACTGTTAACTGTTAGCGCTAGCGCTCCCCCACCATTAAGCCGTTCTAGGGCTAGCATCAACCCATAATTGGTTCCAGAAGAGGGGAACCGGACTTCCTTGGCGCGCAGTTAGATCTGCGGGGTTACGCAGGTCTGCCCAAGTATAAAAAGCCGTAGTCATAAGTTCTATTTTACACAGGTTTGTCACAATCCAATCGGGACCAAGGTGAATCGTCAGTCTTTCACCAATCAACTCCATGTCTCGATTGGTCTAGTGGTCAGGATACCTGCTTGTCATCTTTCCGACAGTTACGCAGGTGGCCGGGGTTCGATTCCCCGATCGAGAGTTTATAATGTCCAACTTTTTGCTTTTGATAGCTCCTTACAAAATCAAGTTCAACATATGAATATGTCTATCAACCCATATTTGTGGTGATATCCCTCCAAGTCTACCTCTGCAAACGTATTATCGCAATACTGCTCCAGCAATCTGCTCATTTCTCAATCAGGTTACCTATCCTCGAGCCTGTTTGCCTGTATGTATGTATGTACGAGTCAGTGAATGCAATTATTTTGGAGCCCCTGTTGGCTCTCTTACTCAATTAATTCATACAAATCCCGCCTTTTTATAGATCGCTCGCCTAGGATGATAATAATCTTAGGCCGAGCGCATTCTACTCATCATGGTTAGGGCGACATGTCGAGTAAGGGGTCAGTCAAGCTGATAAGTAAGACTATTACTCATCTCATATCTCCGCTATAGATCTACCCTCCTCTAAGATGTTACTATAGCACATAGACAGATCCAGGGTGCCAGAGTGCTGCTATACTACCGTAGAATCTTTCGTTTGGTTCATCGAGAATCTGCCTTTCGATTGGCTGCTTACCAACCGTTGATTTGCAATCAGCTAACTCTGGCCGCCCGGACGGACGAAATAAGTTTCAGCACGATCGACTTATACAAATGTGTAGGTATACGATCAGTATATAAATATGCGTCCTGTCGCCCATCGTAGACTCACCTTCCGACCTACTACATCGGCAGCACATACACCTACAAACGTGAACACGTCAAATCTACACCTACCGAAACAACATGCCTTCATATGTAGTAACCGGAGCGTCCCGAGGACTCGGCGTAAGTGAGAGGAAATGGTCGAATCAAATAGAGATGCTAATACGCGATATAGTACGAATTCATTCGCCAGCTATCTGCTGACAAGAATGCCGTTGTCATTGGTCTTGTTCGTAACAAGGCCGCAACCGAGAAGAGAGTAGCCGCTGAGATCGGTCGCTCTAACATCCATATCCTCCACGGAGACTTGGATGATTATGAATCCCTGAAGGTTCGATGGCCACCCCTGTCCTGTGTGCAATCCCGGGCGCTAATTGTATTCGCAGAAAGCGGCTGAAGACACCTCCAAGATCACCGGTGGAGGTCTCGATTATCTGATCGCAAACGCCGCCATAGTCTCTGTCGCGTCAGGTTACAAGACTCTCCATACCCAGTGAGTCAAATACTGTTCTGCTAAGAACTTATACATGTCTTTACACCCAGGCACCCTAAGAACTGGTCCCTAACGCGTCTTGATTTGATCAGAGGCGAAGACCCCAAGGACCTCGAGGAGGACCTCCTCTCCTCCTATAAAACTAATGTCGTTGGCAACGTCCACCTATTCAACCTCTTCCTTCCTTTGATCCGGCGAGGTGAGGTCAAGAAAGTCATCTCTATCACCAGCGGTTTGGGCGAATTTGAACTTACGAAGAACCTCGAGATCACTAACGGAGGGCCGTACTCAATGAGCAAGATCGCACTGAATCTAGCCGTTGCCAAGTACCACGGCGAGTTCAACGGCGAGGGAATCTTGTTTCTGAGCATTTCGCCAGGAGTGGTGGAGACATCAGGACACAACGATGCATCGAAGTGTAAGTCCCTCTACAGCTCTCCACTCCATATACAAAGATGATACCCCTGTGTCCCATTGGATTTCCGCAATATCAATATGTCTGCTAACATCAAGTGTGAAGACTCTGAGAAGGAAGTCAAGGTAATGCAGGACATGTTTCGCAAATTCTCCCAATACCAGCCGCGCTTCAAAGCTCCTTTGACTCCGGAACAATCTGTCAAATACGTCATGGATGTCGTCAACCGTGCCAGCATCGAAACCGGATACGGGGGCGCCGCCGTCTCGCACTATGGCAATCAGCAGTGGCTTTGAATGCGGGAATACCGAGGCGGATTAGGTAGCGATGATGCTGAGATAACTGCTACTTTGACATGCCGAAGAGGCCAGCATCGGCAATGATTGTATCCTATTTGGATCTGTGTCCGAAGCTAATCGGGATCAAACGTCCTTTTCGTGATTACCAGGGACTTCTGCATGTCGATATTAGCTGCCTGCCTAGCTACCTACCTGGATACTTGCCTCCTTGCTCTAGCAACTGACATGAAGAGACACTCCTCCGCCTCTAGGACTTCTGGGCTATTGTTGAAAACGACTACACTTCGCTGTTCAACGACAATACTATCCTGGAGAATGTTATATGATATTTAACGTGCTACACGGATATCCTGATCACCAAAAGTAGTAAGGGAGTAACCTGTGCGGTGTGTAATTTATCTGATCCGTGATACCTTACCATACATGTATGTGCACCTACCTGTCCATATCGAAGGCAGCAAGGTATGTAGTATATGACTAATCATATCTCATAATTGAGCACAAATTCAAGTAGGCAGGCAGGTATCTACCAGGTAGGGAACAGGCTCGTATAAATGCCAGTAAATAATCACAACCTTAATATTTCCTTATTCAATTTCCAGAACGATACGTCAACCTCGTCTAAACGACAAGACCACCTTGCGTGGGAGAAGCATTTGTTGACCATCATGGCATCTAACTCCCTCGTGCCACAACCCACCCGAAGCCAGGAGCAGACAAAGGAAATCGAACCAATTCCCATAAGTTGACGATTAGATTAGCAATATCGTCCTTTGTCGGCCAGTGTGATCTATCCCCTCAAGCCGTATACATGGATATGTAGAAAGGTCTGTAGCGAATCTGACTGAGCTAGTATTCTGAATATGAAGCCGGCTTAGCAACATGCCCTGTGATGGGTCAGATATCAAGCAGTGGCAGCCAAGCGCTGTTATTCTCTTTTGTGTATATAAAGGCCCAAGAAGATGCAAGTATTGATAGAAATCATGAGAGTCGGCTGCCAAACACACTCGATTCTCAACACAAGCATATCCCGCTCTTATACTTGGGCAGGCTACACTTTATAACTTCAACATGGTTAATACAGACCAAGGAGGGGGTGACGACCAGCCTGAACCCAAACCCCTAACCGATCGAGGACGCGACGCATACGATACCACCGGAACCAAGCCCGCGAACCCACCGCCCAAGGATAAAGGACGAAGCGGCTACGACACCTCCGGAGTCCGAACCAACCCAAAGCCATCCTCCGGGCGCTTCTTCCAGGAATATGCGTTTCTGTCTGCGATGGCGATATGCGTACTGGTAAGCAGACCTTGTTATGTCTGTTTTGATCTGTCAATCAAATGTCCACCACTAACTGTGCTACTGGAGGTTACCTTGATCATGTACATTCCCCTTGGTAACTGAGCCGAGCAAAAAAACCCAGGACAAGAGCAGAGACGAAGGGTGTGATCTTTCTGGCCCCTCCAAGGATGTTGATAACCAAGGCACATCGTACATTCGGGCAATCATTGGCGATATCACATTTGTACGAACGGGGCTGTTTCCCACGTGGAAACTACATGGCTTTTAGACTTACTATCCGACTGCAGTAAGTTTTGGGCTTGACCAAACTCGTGGATGGATGAAGAGTCCCGGGTCACAACACCTTGAGATAGATGCACAGTCGTTCATTGACAAATTCCTATTCAATGCTTTATTATGCCCTCAATTTCCTATCAAACGCCCAAGCATACTCACATGCATTGGGAATAATATTGGTTCTACAAGGCAATATGTTAGGTACTAGTCAGCGCCATTGCGTTGATTATGTGAAGCAACGTACCTGTGCCTTGCAAGTGAATCCGCTAGCACACGTCGTGCAGCCGGTGAAGCTAGAGCCGCCGCATTGAGCATACTGCGCAACGCTGCAAGCCGAGGGACTAGTCGGCGTCGTAGAAGCTGCCGTGGTAGAAGTTGCCAGAGTCGTGGAGGCAGGGGACTTGGTCGTAGTCTGGGCGCCTCCGCCGGAGCTTGCTGAGCAGGTGAACGGGTCGGGGCCTAATCCAGTAAACTTCAGTGATTGCTGGAAATCGTTAAAGATGGACAGGGTACACACCTGGAATTACGTATGTGCTGTCTTTGCTCATGGAGTAGATGTTGATCAGGATACCGGGATCGTTCTGTTTGTACATGCCCGGAAAGCTGTACGTTGTGGGCGTCTTGTTTGCCGAGCCCCCGGAGATGTTGATTTGCGCGCATTCCATCTGTATCTTGTGTCAGCCCTCAGGGGTTCGGTGTATAGATGTCGAATGCTACGTACGTAGAGCTGCGCCCCTTGGTTAGAGCCCGCTGCGTGTAACGCGATCATCTCGGCGCGGAGCAAATACTGCCCATCAGGCAGGCAGTCGGGAATCTGAATCGGATGCTTTCCCTGGTTGTTGATGACGTTGCTGGTGCCCCAGACTCCGTTGGTGTAGCCATCCTGCTGGATTTTGAACCTGGCGGACGGTAAACAATGGGCTTCTAGGCAACAATTGGAATAAGGGCAAGCGGCTTGACTCACCAACCGTTACCGTATCCCTTGTCAGCCGTCGCGTCATCAACCTTCTTTAGATACGCTAGGGTAGGTCCCAGATGGCTAGCCTCCATCACATCTCCAGAGCCCGAGGCAAGGGTATGTCTCCAAATGGCAGTGACCGTGGAGCCAGCCTTGACATTAATGATCTTGTCGGACGGCGTGGTCGGGTTGGGACCGCCATTGCAGGCGACGTCGTTGGTGGTCACGTCGGTGATGGGACCGTCGTAGGATGGCGTTCTAATGCCATAAGAGACTGGGTTCGTCGTGCCGTCTGCTTCAAGTTGCAGGAATATTGTGTGCGCGCTTGCCAGGCTGATCCCAGCGACGGCGACTGCTAGCGAAGGGTACTTCATTTTAAGGGCCAGTATACTGAGCTGAGGCTGCGAGTATGATTGATAGCTACAAGCTGAGGTGAATGCCTACGCCAACCCAATAGCTAAGTGTCGGTATTCGTGGAGACGAGGTAGGTCGATGGTCTCTTTTATAATTGCGAGGGTCGCATCTACCTACGCCCTTGTCGCCAGCGTCAACTAGCAACCCCGGAGTCTGTGGATGCATTACCTCC